CATCTTCATCGTCATCTTCTGTTAGACCAAACTGAAAAGAAACAAACAATTAGTTTTAATCCAATTAAAAAATAATTCTTCTAATGTATTTACTTTCTTTCACTTTCTTCTGAACTTCATAAAATTTCTACAAGGTTTCTTGCTTCTTCTTCTTCTTCATCATCTTCATCATCTTCTTCTTCATCTTCATTCTTTTAAGATCTAACCCATCGTAGATATTGTTGATAAATCTAAAACAAATCTCATTGTAATCTTCTTTTATTAACACACGATCATTAGAAAGAAAATTGCATTTAGATTAGATATGGATGTAGTAAATGTTGTGGGTTACATTTTTTTTTTTTTTTTTTTGTTAACAATTGGATATTCCTCAATGTATTCGTTTTAGTTATTTCGAACAAGCATTTTATCGCGAGAGAAGAAAAGAAGTGCGAGAGGATCCGCTATGGACTGATAATCAAACTTTTCCGGTTAACGTTACACTCCCATGAATTACGTAACATATTTCCGTGTGCACAAATCGGAAATAATCAAATATGTTGAAACGAAACAAATCTGTGTGATCTTTCTCTCACTCGTGTTCGTGTAAAAAATAAATTTGTTTGAAATATTCAAAAGAAAAAAAAAAAAAACAAAAAGAAAAAAGCAAGTTGTAAACTTTCCTATTATCGATAATACAACAACAACAACAAAAAATAAAAATAAAATATGATTATCGTTCGCTCGTAAAATCCTATCGAAATTCACGAATTACAAGGAAAAAAGAAAAAAAAAAAAAAGAAAAAAAAAAAGGTTTCACGACGAATTTGTCTTCGTTCTTTTTCCTTTTCGCTCGTTCTGTTTTTTTTATTTTTTATTTGTTTTTTTTTTTTTTTTATTTCATGTGTGCACAGTTGGCAAACGACACACACGTATCAAAGATGATAATTCCCTGCGTATTCTTGTTACCGATAATAAAAATCGTTTTTCGAAGGTCTCCATTAAAAAGAAAAAAAAGAAAAAAAAAAGAAATAAAGGAAATAAGGAAAAGAAATCAATAAGAGAAAACCATTCGAACTGTATAAACTGAATTACCGAATATTGTTTTAATAACGCGGAACAACCTCATCGTACAAACAAACTTACCGCGACCATATTACGTAAGGAGGAGGAAACACACACGAAAAATAAAAAAGAAAATAAATACTAAATATGTAAAAAACAAAACGGTGAAAATAATACTCGATAAAAACAATACGCAATTATTCGAATTATTAGTAATACTTATATTCTTGACTATACAGTGTTAGGATACCTTATCGAGTTTGCGATGAGTAATAACGTCGTTTCGAAACTATAATTAAACTACTGAAAGTATGACAGTTTAAAAAAAAAAAAAGAAAATAAACGCTAAGGAAATCAATTGTTTTTCTTTCTTAAATAAATAATTGAATAAATAAATAAATAATTAAAGAAAAAAATATTTAAATCGGTCAGGTAAAAAAAAAGTAATATCGATTTATCGAATAATTTTGAATTTGATCGTACGTGTTACGGTGAGGTTTTATAACACAAGATTTAAAACACACAAATGGGCACATACATATGTAAATATATGCGGATATAAAGGGCATAGGTGCATCCGAAAGTAAACGTGCGAAGTCAAAGAAATGAAAAGGAAAGGGAAGAAGAAGAAGAAGAAGAAGAAATGAATGAGGGAGGAGGAGGGTTAGGAGAGGAGAGAGGTGGCAGAACGAAAGGAAGACGAGGAGGAGGAGGAGGGGTAGGGGATGGGGAGGGAGTAGAGATGTCAAGTTTAGACGCGAACCTTGACGCTGCTGGGCCATGCCTTTGGTCTGGTATGCGTAACGCGACCAACGCTGCCGAGGGCTTAGGAAAGGAGAGTAAAAGAGAGCGTATGTGTGTGTGTGAGTGTAAGTGAGAAAGAAAGAAAGAAAGGAAGAAAGAAAGAAAGAAAGGAGTGAATGAGAGAGCGCGAGAGAGACCGCGTGTGGGCCCCCACCCACCCCCCACCCCGTTAGCGGTGTCGATCGCGGCCCCGAGGGCTGTTGAGAACACCAAGTTAGGGGTGACGTAGAGGAAAGGAGGGTCGAGAGGAGGTGGTCGTCGTAATGGTGGTGGTGGTGGTGGTGGGTGGACGGCGGGGAAAGAAGAAGGAGCAATACAGAAGTGGTTGGATGGCGGGTTGACGGCGGGTTAGCGGCGGGTTAGCGGCGCGATTCAACCTCCTTTCACTTTCGAGGAGCGCGCGAATATACGTCGATCGCACCTCTTTGTATGTATGTGTGTGTGAGTATGTGTGCGAGCGAGTCTACCTATGTATAATAAACGTGCGTTCGCGACGACGACTACGCTACGCGACGACGACGGACGTCGACGACACAACATAGAGCAAAGCAAAAACGCGTCGTACAAAAATAGGCAACGCTGCCGGTTTAAGCCGCGTGTTCGCCCTACAAAACGCGAGTTGGATGACGAGGAGAACGAGGAGGAGTAGGAGAGGAGAAGGAGGAGGAGGAGGAAGAGGTGAAAGAGGTGGTGACGACAACAATGACGACGACGGGGGTCAGAGGTCGGCAAAGTGTTGCGTATTATAATTAGTTTTTTTAAATCGTTTCCATTTTGTGCTTTTATCCATGTTACAGCTGTGCGAGAAGACCGCATGAGAGGCGGTAGAAACAAATTTGGGCCCATGTACAAAAGGGACAGAGCGCGGAAACTGCAAATGATAAGGCAACGACAATTGGCGCTGCAAACGATATGCGGGAATCTCGGGGATCCATCGAATTACACGTCCACCGTAACGCCTTTCCTGCACATCAAGCAGGAGATCCAAATACCTCAGGTCTCGAGTCTAACATCCTCTCCGGATTCGAGTCCGTCACCGGCGGCGGCCGCGGTAGCCGCTGCTGCTGGTAGCCTCTTGACAACGCAATCTGCCGGTGCCGGTGGAGCCGGAGCCTGCGGTGCTGGTGGTGGAGCAAGCGGGGGTGGCGGCGGAGGAGCTGGACAACATCAACTGATAGCACCTTCCTCTCAGCATAACCTCATCGCAACCAATCACCTGCACAACGTTACCCCTGGCCTCGATAGCAAACTCTGGCCCGCTAATTCGACCACCCCCAGTCCTGTAGCCTTCAACTTTGGCGAACAGTCGGCGCAACCCCACGGCCCGCCCCAGGCCTCTGCGCCTGCTACCGCGCCCTTGAAAACTAGTCCGCTAATAAGAGACTTCGTGCAGACGGTCGATGACCGCGAGTGGCAAACGTCCCTCTATGAGCTCTTGCAGAAGCAAACGTACAATCAGTGTGAAGTGGACTTGTTCGAACTAATGTGCAAAGTGCTCGACCAGAATCTTTTCTCCCAGGTCGATTGGGCCAGGAACTCTGTATTCTTCAAGGATCTCAAGGTGAGTTTATTCTTCCTCTTCGTAACGCTAACCTCCTTACATACCCCACCTTCCTCATTTCCTTTCCCTTTCTCTCTCTCTCTCTCTCTCTCTCTCTCTCTCTCTCTCTCTCTCTCAACCTATTTAAAATATACTCTAATTAGTCAAATCTTTTTACAATGTTATCAATATTTTGTCAATATTTTTCAATACATTTTGAAAACGTTTTGCACGACGACGTAGAGTCTCTCTTGGAGGGAAAAGTCGTCGGTCCGTTCTTATACCGATAAATAACTCGTCGTTGCTGGCCCGCTCGACTCTACGAGTAGCGGGGATGTGAGGTAACCAACGGCATTGCACAATCACTGAATGATTTCAAGCATCGCCTCATATCTAGGTCATAACGAGATACGTTTCTGGGTTATGGCGGTTGCCCCAAAGCAGCAGGCCCATGTTAATTATATAGGATTGCGTATTACGTCGTCATTGAGATCCCAATATGCACCTATTTTTCATGCCGATTTCGCTTTCCAGTTTTTTTTCCCCCTTATCGTTATTATTCTTTTGTTTTTTTCTTTTATTTTTCATTATGTATTCTCTCAATACTCTTCTTTCACTTGTAATACGATACGCGATAAATTCTACGTCGTCCACTACGTAATACTACGTGATACTTTCTTTCTCTTTCTCTTTCTCTTTCTATACATATTTCTCGCGAGATAAGAAAAGCAATTATAGCATTCATCGATAGATCCATTTTTTTCGCTGTTACCTACCCACCATTCCAATGTGTATTATATATCGTTGTTACTGTCACTCTACATAAGCAAACTCTTGCATCGAGTTCCATTCAAATTTCATAACAAGTACACACACGTACTTTATTTATTATTTCGAGATTTTGTTGTTTATATTTACGAATGAAACGTTGTAACATTTCTTTTTGTTTTGTCAAATTTACGAACCGTTACAAATCTCGCAATCGTGAAGTAATAATAAAGTATATCGCGAAATGTACGTGTGTTGGGCTCATTCAAATTCATATTTAGTGATACTTGTACTAATAATTACATTAACATTAATAATAATTTGAATAGGTCGACGACCAAATGAAACTACTGCAACACTCTTGGTCGGATATGTTGGTGCTCGATCATGTACATCAAAGGTTGCACAATAATCTACCCGATGAGACAACGCTTCATAATGGCCAAAAGTTTGATCTCCTGTGCCTAGGCCTACTTGGAGTTCCTTCCCTGGCAGATCTTTTCAACGATTTATCCTCGAAACTTCAGGAGCTCAAATTTGACCTGTCTGATTACATTTGCATGAAATTCCTTATGTTGCTTAATCACGGTAAGATACTCATCTAAACTTATCCTTTGTTTGTTCTTCTATTTCTCTGCAATTACAATAATAATCAGAATTAGAAAGAAAAAAGAACAATTTGATTCTTCTAAAATCTATGTTAAAACATATTTACAAATGTATTTGTAATAAGATCGATTAAAAAAATATATTATTTTCGATTTATATGCAGATGTTCGCGGACTGGTTAACAAAAAACACGTACAGGAAGGTCACGAACAGGTCCAGCAAGCTCTTTTGGACTATACGTTAACTTGTTATCCATCTATACCGGTATGTTATCTGATCAAACATTTATATATTTATTTGTAATCGATCGTAAACAATAAATACAAATTGTTTCAGTCGTTTCATTGATTATTTTCTAATTAAATATATATGCTTGTTTTTTTCTGTTTGTAAATATAGGAAAAGTTTAATAAGCTGTTAGCAGTATTACCAGAAATTCACGTGGTTGCGACTAGGGGAGAAGAACATCTTTATCAGAAGCATTGTAATGGTGGTGCTCCAACTCAAACACTTCTAATGGAGATGCTTCATGCCAAGAGGAAATGAGACGATAGATTCGTGTGCCGACTCTACCGTAAAATAATAATTCTTTGGTATGTACTATATTTTTAAAAGGTTGGTAGAGTCCTCGCTCGATCGATATAAATTGTCAGAATAAACGTATGAATAAAAAAAACAAAACAAAACAAACAAACAAACAAATAAAAAAAGAAACAAACAAGCAAACAAGCAAAAAAGCAAACTAACTAACAAAAAATAAAGTGGACCTCAAAGTGTACCTACTATTATGAGCTAACTTCGGCTTAGGTGTCGGACCAAGTTTAGGGTAGCCGTGGTTCATCAAAAAAAAAAAAAAAAAACAAGAAAAAAAAAGCAAAATACCTATGCAAACAAAATCAAGTATAAACGTACACATACTTTACACATATAAATATATATACATAGAGAGTATATGTATTATAAAATGTATCTAAATATATATAAACATAATGACATATATTTTCTATATTTGATGTTGAAGTTTTAGAGATGTATCCGTGGATATAAAAAAAAAAAAAAAGAAAATACACATTTACCCCTGTTGGTGGTACAAGCGCAGGGAAAACAGTAAGCAAGATGCCTTGAAAACAGTACAAAAGGGTGGTTAACAAAAAATATTGGTCAAAGGACAGGCAACTTTGTCAAAATATAAGTAAAAGCTATTTTTCTAATAATACTTAGATGCGATTATTTTTTAAGCATACCACTGAAGCCTTGCTCACACTCGAACGAATAAATAATACTAATGGTAATAACAACAACAACAACAACCAACAACTAATAGAGATCAGATCTCTCTTTCCATTTCTTTCTTTCTCTTTCTCTCTCTCTCTCTCTCTCACACTTTCTCTTTTTCTTTCTTTCTTTTTCTCTCTAACAATTGATCGTGCCTCTCTTTGCAAGAAATTTTCAATATAAAAATAAACATATTTGAAATTATAGTCAAACACGTTACGTATATGATTTTCTATGTACGTTGTTATTCACACGGATAATATATACGAACGATAAAATATATAAGGAGAGAAAAATAGAAAAAGATAATTGGGACAGAGAGGAAGGAAAGGGAGAGCGAGCGAGAGGAGGGTTAGAACGACGAGAGAGAAGGGTGGATGTGAGTGAATAAGTGGATCTGTGTGTTTATGTGTGTGTCTGTGAAAAAAAAAATAATAATAAACAAAATAAAAGATAAAGAAAAAGAGAATATTAAATATAAAAAAAAAAAAAAAGAAATAAATAAGAAAAAATATAAGAAAGAGAGCAAGCAAGCAAGCAAGCAAGCAAGCGAACGAAAGAGAGAGTGCTGCTTATAAATGACGACGCCGCGTCGTCTCGTTACAAGAAGCACGGTTTATGTATCTGGACATCGTTTAAAACTTCCTACAAAAATCTGCATTTTTCACACTTGCACATAGCAGGGCTATTGTACTGTAAATACTAGTTAACACATTCCAATTATGTTGTAAAGTATAAGTCATGTTAAATATGTAATTATAATAATAATATTTTGTGTATAGTTTAATGAAATAAAAAAATATATTTCTGTTGCTTACTGAAAAGAAAAATAATAATAAAAAAATAAAAAATAACAAAAAACCGAAATAAACAAATGAATCAATAGCTACTTAAAAATATCTTCACGTTTATAATTTAACTACATTGTTTTTCTTTCTTTTTTTCTTTTTTTTTCTTCTTCTTCTTAATTTCTTATTTTCATTCTTTTTTGATATTAAGTTTAATAATCGTGTTTATCTCTTATTATCTCTCTCTTTTAATTATTTTTTTCAAACACAGGTGGAGGAAGAGAATAACCACAAAGAATGAGATATTTTACTACATTGTATGTTATAATGCAATAAAAGACTTTTGTTTTGACAACAAAAGAGGCAAAAAGTGCATTGCAACAAATAAAAAAAAAAAAAAAAAAGGAAAATAAATAAATAGTTAATAAAATTTATCGGGCAAGGTTTATGTGGTCCTATACATTGATTAGCTATTATTATTATTATTACTATTATTATTATTATTATTATTATTAGCTAGTATTATTATTATTAATTATTATTATTATTAATATTATTATTATTATTATCATTATTATTATTATTACTAAAGACACGGGCGCACACGTTAAAAAACGCGTGCACGCGTATACACAATGGAAATATAAATGCATATAAACGCGTCGTGCATTATGATCTGCACATACGCGCATATATGCATGCAAGTACGAGTACGTGAAAATTTAACAAACACAAAAACAATAAATAAATATAAATATATATATATATAAATAATATATATATATATATATTGATATTATTTTAATATATAAAATAAACAACACATCTCCAAACACAGCAGCAGCAACAGCAGCAGCAGCAGACACACACATAAAACACACAAAAAAGGATACACTCAGAGATACACACATCCACATTGTCGTCTTATCACAGTTGTTAAATAGATAAATATTTAATCTAAATATTATAAGATAACGAATCGAAGTTAGTAGTTTTTTTCATTAAGATTATTATTCTTTAGTCAATAGTAAGGAATTTTTCAGTGCTGTGAAGGTTGTCTTTTGACACCTGTGGTACCCAAGCCGTCGTATATATGAATGATATGCGTGCTAAATTTCAAGTTCGGATGTGGCACTGTGAACAATTATTCTTGCTCGTAATTAGCTAACTAAACTGATTAGTCTAAATATCGATAAGGATTCGCTTCCTGAAACTCCCCTTTAAAAAGGATCCACGTATCAAAACAAGTACCTGGGAAATAAATACTATTTTAATACTTCCAATTTTTTCCACCAACGACGATCGCAATATGTTTAGCTAATAATTCCTTTGAACGTTTTAATGAACGTTTTTTGATGTGACCTTAGATATTAAAAATCGTATGTTGCATTAGTAAGAAGAAGAAGAAGAAGAAAAGAAAAATATAAATAAATAAAGAAATGAAGAAGATGAAGAAGAAGAAGAGGAGGAGGAGGAGGAAGAAGAAGAAGGAAAAGAAGAATAGAAGAATTAGAAGAAGAAGAAGAAGAAGAAATGAAAAAGAGGAGTTAACAGGCAGCCAAGAAATTAATATTTTGGGTACCCGAAAAGATTATTATAGGTACTCGTGATTTCTACGAGTAAAGATGATTTATGTTCACAGCTGCGTTTGGCTTTAAATCAATATAAAAGTATGCTAATAATGTGTTCTCAAATTTTTCAATCCGTCTAGTTCAAAATGTTACTATCTGATCAGATACAATCGAAAAAGAAATCAACGTTTATTATAACACAACATACACCACACACATTATAATCTATATGTTTATATATGCATATATTTATATACATACGTATACATGTATATATATTCACATATAAAAGTGTATATATATATATATATGTATATACAACAAATATGTATAGATAAGATATATGTATATATATATTATATATATATATATAAATCTTTCTTCTTCGATCCCTTCGAAAGCACAGTTTTATTTCACTCAAACAGGAATGACTACCTCTTCTCATAACTATATTAAGTTTTTATACTTTTACATTTTTAGTAAACCGCATACCTCAGTATACACACTCTAACAGCAATCCGACAAACAATAATAAAAAGGATGTTGTTTTTCATAGAAAGGTACTTTTAGTTGCACTAATTCATATTATGCATTAAAAGCATATACACCAACCACCACCACCACCACCACCACAATGTAAAAAGTTCCATTGAGAAAAAAAATATTGTATTTGTTGTAATAATAATGTCCATGTCGCTATGCTTTAGTTATTATATAAATATACATGTTACTAATTAAATTATACTTGCGCTCTGTATATTGTACCAAAATAGAAGTTTAGTAAATAATGTCAAAGGTTAATTATATCACGCATGGTTCCGCGTTGCTGTTTGGTGGGTAAGGCAAGTTAAAAACGTGTGTCATATTTATATTGTAACTTTTTTTTATTTTATTTTATTTTATTTCATTTTTTTTTTTTTTCATTTACTTCCGTTAAACTGTGCTGATCGCTATCTATCTTGGTCTTACTAAATAATCATTAATATTATTTTAATTGTTCTAAATTATTATATCTCTCATTTCGAATATTTTAGTTTTTAAATTTAACCTGCTTTTTCTTGTCTCTATGTTCAAAGCTAAAAAACAAAACAAAATTCAATCGTGTCATTCATTATTTTACTACATAACTTTTATTAACAATTATTATTAAATAAAATGTTTGCATAGAAATTCAGCTCAATATATAATTTTTTTTTTACTCTCACTCTCTCTCTCTCTTTCTCTCTTTCACTTACTTTCTCTCTCTCTCTCTCTCTCTCTCTATTTCTATCTCTATCTCTCTTTGCAAAATGTTAACTATATAAAATATGATATATAATTTAATATGATATAAATGTGATTCCCCCCCTCCCTTTTATCGCGCGTATATATAAATATATATATATATATATTCATATATATAGATATATATCACGGAAATTTATTTTAACACGAAAGAAAACGAAAAATTCATACGTTGTTAACACTGCCATTAGAAGCTGGCAATTGTAAATTATGTAGAAAAGATTTAATAATTGTAAATATATCTTTATTATTAACAAATTATTATTTCTTTTGAGAATCTCTTAAATAATATCATATTATTATTCTCGCCGTTGCATTCATTAAATATTATCCATCATGCATGACAATATGATTCCTTCATCATAATCCTTTGTTTTTTTTTTTACAAATAAAAAAAACAATAACCATTACCTAAAAAAAACATATCGAATAAACAAAGAAAAAGAAAAAAAAAATTATTAACGACAACACAACAACAACATCTTTAAAGAGTATACAAAATTAATTGAAAATGGATATTTTTTTTTAACACGATATTCGTATTTGCAAAATATTTCTTCATTATGTCGATGTATTTTTGTGTAACGCTTGTGTAAAGTAAAATATTTTAACTGTTAATTTATAATTTACAATTGCACCAATTAATTAAATGATCTATTATTACACTTCGTGCTTATTTTTCTTCTATGATCAAATAATATTATTATATTTGTCATGATACGAAAAGAAAATAAATGCAGTTATACGTTGTAATAAGAACGAACACAATTGTAGGATATGCAATCCTATGTTATTAAAATGGAAAAACAACTTCTCGCTAATAACTGTAGATTAAGAATTACAGATAAATGATATTTAAGAAAAAAAACAATTTAAAGTTCTTAATTAAAACAAAACAAAAAAAAACAAAAAATGATTAAAGAAAGAAAGAAAGAAGAAAAAAGAAGACCGACCTCCTGCTGCTATTTGATAAAATATTCGCAATCAAACTGACTTCATTTTCTGTGATTCACTTTAGATTTTGTCAAGGATATATTATACCCATATTTATAAAAGCAATCAATTATTTTTGATATTCATCTATGTCTAAATCATTTGTGTCCATTGTATTTTTATGCCTCGAGAATAAATAAATAAAAGAAATAAAAAAAATAAAAATAAAAAAAAAAAATAAAACAAAAGGAACAAAGTATGATATATCTGCTTTGAATGATAAACAGATTGTGTTTGAAATGCTTTTATAATATAAATATGTACAATTGAGAATAACTTGTTTTCTCGTACAATGATACATGACGAAGTAAATACGTTTTTTAAGGATTTTCACGATTCCCATTTTCGTGAGCGCCAGATTTTAAAAATAATTCGTAAGCTTTTTCATCCATGAGCATCTTGATTTCCTCTGGATGACTTAATTGTACTTTGTATAACCATCCTTCATCGTAACAAGATGAATTAATCAATCCTGGTTTACTTTCCAGTGCAGTATTTTTTTCTACTACGGTTCCGCTTACAGGACTTATTAATACAGATGCAGCTTTAACGGATTCCAATGCACCGCACTCCTCTGAGAATCGGGGGGACGAGATAATTGTTTACCAAAAATATTCAATGATATATGAATAAATGTATATATGTTTCATTCATGTAAAAGTATCAAACCTTCTTTTTTAAAGACAGATCCAACATCTGGAAGTTGAGCATAGACTACATCACCAAGTGCATCTTGTGCATGATCAGATATCCCAATTGTTCCTACGTTATTATCTACTTTGATCCATTCGTGTGTATCCGTAAACCATCTTTCTAAATAGGATTAACAAAGAAGAGGACAAATCTTTGTATAAGTATAAGTTAAAACAAAATAAATCTAATGAGACTCCTTTGCTAATTATATTAAATGGACCGAAAAGTAATGTCGTTTTTACAAATGTCAAATTTTGAAGATTTTTTTTTATCCAAAAATCGATTGATCTTTATCAATTTGATATTAAAAAATTTGCATACTAAATGAAGAAAGGTTGTTGATAACGAGGTTAATGATGTTATTGACTAAAAATATCAATTTGTACGAAATTTATTCTTTTGAATTTAAGGTTAGAAAGCGACGTTACTTTCTGGTCCATCTATTATATAATAAAAATAATTAGAAAAAAAAAAAAAGAAATAATTAATAAAATTGATAGTATAAAGGTCTATCATTATCTTTTCCTAACATCATTAATGTTTAATAAATAATATCAATAAAATAATGAAATTCGTTTTTCTGTGTAATATTATTAATTATTATTATTATTATTATTTCATTTGAACTTACCCGATTTTAATTGTTGTGCAGTAGATAAATAACGCGAAGTTGACAAAGATGAATTTGTTAATAATTGAGTCCTAGGTGAAATCACTTGTTCAAAAGAATTTTTAATTATTCTTGTAAACAATCTAGCCATTTTTTCTTTCTTTCTTTCTTTCTTTCTTTCTTTCTTTCTTTTTATCTCTATCACTCTCACTCTTATAATAATAACGAAATTTTCGGCGAGTTAACCTTACTTTCTTTCGTGTCGTCTGCTTCGTCGTCTCTGCCGAAATGCTCCGAATGCTGTCGTATTAGTTCGTCGATTACGAACGAAATGCGCGCGTACGAGCAAATGCAAGAACATTTTAATGATCTTTAGAATATTTCTTAACCATTTCTGGTGTCATAATTTAACTGTTATCTTGAAAAAAGATTATACTGGAAACTTTTATGTTACATGATGATGATGATGATGATGATGATGTTTCATCATCAATAATTCGATATAACAAATAAACTATTTATTTTCATGTTCTATCGTTTGTTTGTCGTTACAAGAATATCATTAATAATATGTTCATTTATTTATTATTATTAATCTAATTATTTTTAAACAATTCGTTTCAATTTTTTTTTAACAAATGTTTAATCTAATGAATATTTTTTGCTATTTAAATAGAATATACGAAAACTCAATATACAAATATTACTTCAATAATAAAATTAATATAACAACTATCCTTCTTTTTCTTTTTTTTTTTTTTTTTATTTTATCAAAGAAAAATATTTCCAATGCAATGACGAAATATAAACTACGATCAACCACGAGTCAAAGAATATGTTACAATCACGTGAGGTTAAAAGATCAAGAGAAATATTCTTATAAGATAACTTTAGATTTTTTATTATCAAAGTTGAAACGATATCGATGACCTTTTATGAATCCAATTCGGATAACATAACAGTAATAATAATAATAGTAATATATATATAATCGACTTTATGATAATTATATCTAATGAATATCAGTTTCTTTAAATAATCCTTTAAAATTCGATATTAAAATAATTATATTTATTTATCGTTTTGATAATACTAGAACAAAGGTAAAGCGCATTGTAAAATACATATATATGTATGCGTTATAAACCAATGGTATAAGATCGTCCATTTGGATTATGAATAGATCCTACAATTGGTTCACTAACACACCATTCATACCAAACATTTTTGTTATTGCATTTGCGCCAAAAATGCAATACTATTTTTTTCCCTTTTTCCAACCGAATTGGTTCCTAATATATAATAATAATAATAATAATAATAATAATAATAATAATAATAATAATAATAATAATAAAATGTACATTCTTATAATTATTAATCATACAAATATATAAACAAAAAATTATCAAACTTAACAGTTTAATTAATAATAAATAAATGAAGATTTTCAATTAAACTCACCTTAATAGGAAAGAAAATAGGAAACCAACTAAACATTCCTGGACTATGTGTACTTGGTTCTATACTTAAATTAATATCATTGTATAAAACTGCTTCGAAATAACCAGAAAATCCATGAAGTATACAATTTTGTTTCACGTTAAAAGTCTTCATCTCGTATCTATTATTATCTATAATTTTGTCTATTAACAGAAATATATTCGTTATTTATGTTATTATTACTATTATTATTATAATTTTAATATATACTCATTAAAAATATTTCTATATTAATTTTGTTAACATTACTTACCTTTATTTGGATGATAAAATGTAAATAAAGGTTGAGGCTTTGCTATGTCATACTTATTTTGTAAATGAACTACATAAGGCGTTTCAAAATTTACAAGAGGATGTTTGTCCTTATCTTTACATTGTCGTACTTCATTATACAATTTAGAAGATTGTACAGGACCAATAAACGAAGTATATGAACATGGAATACTGATACCATCATCTGAAAATAACTTCAAATATGAAATATGATTTTACATCAATGAACATTTATTTTTAGAAATAAATCACATTATATTAATATTAATATACCTTTTAAAAATCGTTGAACACCGTCCAAACATTCAGGAGAGAGTTCATTATCACCAAAAGATCCAAGCAGCTCAGAAACAAGAATATCTGCTTGTTCTGGAGCAGTCCATTCTCTCATGTCACTGGATACTATGGTTACTACGTCTCCCCATAACTCTCCTTGAAGAGCAAGTAGACTTTAAAAAAAAAACAAAAAAGAAAATATGAATAATCAATATTTGAAATACTTTTTTAAAATTATAATATATGTTCTCATATATATCAGATTATCTTACGTGTTGACAGCATTTGGGTTTTTCTCAACTGCGTATACTTTAATCTTTTGTTTTGTCAATTCGGCAGCATTTAATGCAGCACGTACAAGTGGACCTCTTCCAGCACCAACAACCATAATTACCCTTTAACATAAACACATATATATTAATTAAGTTCATACGTTGTAATAAAAATTAAATGATACTTATATATACATATATTTATATACATTTTATCCAATTGAGTTTTTCTGTTATAATTTATATCTTTTATCGCTTCAACCATAGCCAATTGATATTGGGTATACTTAATGGGATCTTTTTCAAATATTTCATATGTCTGGGATTCAAGATTATCCATCAATGGTTGTAGTGGGCATTGTAAATAATCTTCGTAACCACGTGCGAATCGTTCTACTGGCCCATCTATTTGACAATTCTATATCAAATTTATATTATTAAAGTGTGATATATATATATATATTTTTTTTTAATCATTCTATTTATTTAAAAATTTTTGTAACTTCTTACCTTCCATAAAAAGTCCAAGTAATTGTGATAAAGTGATATACTACTGTATCGGTTTGCTCCTGTTAATATGAATTGTGTTTCCAGTATAGCAAATTTCTTGATTATCATTTGATGCGCTTTGCTTAGCACTGGATATCCTTTTTTATTTGTTATAAATAAAGTTGTTGGCAGTATCAAACATCTCACTGGTTCCCCAAGCCATCTATCTATCTGATATATTTTACATTAATTTATCAATAATATACTTTTAATAAACTGAGTGTTATATTAATTATAGTTACCTCTTCTGGTTCAGGAAGATCATGACTTATAACCAAAGCAATTGCTAATTTCTTTTCATAATCGCAAACTGCTCTGAAACTGTTCCACCATTCCCAAGAATTTTCAACAGCAACATCTTCCTCTCCTCTGTACGAAAGTGCTTGTTTCAATGGGTTTTCCATAGGAATTTGTACCCATATCTAAATTCATAAATACAATAAAAAATAATAATTATATTCAGTTTAACTTATTCACATATAAAAGATAAAATAAAAGAAAAGACTTACTTGATAATTACAAGTACCTAATAATTTATTGTTTATAATTCTGGCAAGATTAATATTTCTTTCTATGCCACCTATTAATTTAAGCATAACTCCTGCCAGTCCTAAATGAGTAGCCAATGTTAATTCTTGATTTAAAGCTTCTTCACTATTTTTCCTATATATACTATCTAAAGCATCGACTTTTATATGAGGAGATATTTTTCCAATAATTAAATTATTCCAATCTATAAAATAAATATTGTATATTAATAATTTAAAGATTTTTATATAAAAATGTGTAATATTATTATTATTATACATACCAGGAGTACATAATACTAAATCGGGTCTTGTTAATGGCCCTGGTCGATTTTTGACAACACCAGATAAAAATTCTCTTTTAAATAATGGATGAACAAGTGGTATACATATAAATTCAAATCTATAAAAAAATTAATTAATTATATGTACATATACATTATAGTATATACATATAAATATCATAAAAATATTATAATAAATATATTTGTAAAAGTATACCTAGATGTAGTTGCAGTATGCAAGCAAGTATTTAGATCCGGTACAGAACATAGATCTAATCCACATGAAATTGGTCTTTGGTTTGTCATTTTATTATAAAGTGCAATAAATGATTTTAACCTTATTTCTTTTTCAATTGTTTTACTAGGAGCGCGCGAAGCCGGTGCGTTGCTACGTTGATACACTCGTGATAAGTGAAACAATTCGGAATAATTCGGAACAATTCGGAATGGTTCGGGACGATTCGAAATACGTCGGAACATTTCGGAGTATATCGGAATGGCGGAAATTTTTAAACGGCGTTTGCGTTTTATGCATTTACAAAGATTTGTTTATTTATTTTTACAGTCGTAATTTTTGTTCAATTTTAACAATCAAAGGCTTATTTGAAAGATAAAGGTTTTTCACATAAAATAATTATTCAATACTTTCGAAGAAATTTTATTTTTTTTTTTTACAAAAATCGTGGTTAAAAATAGGTAATATTCAAGATTAATTTTTTTATTCAACTAAATACCTATTTTGATAATATTTCACAATCAACTCATGTACAAAACTTTTATCTTTCTAATGAATCTTAAATATTAAAATTGGGTAAGGAATATGACTTTTTAACAAGTAAGGATGAGTAAAATCGCCAGGCATTTTTAATTCATTTTCTCCACGTCTGTTTCTGAAGTCACATTGCATACGTTTGAATAGCTTACTTAAACATTTAAATTATTAAATACCATCTGAAAATAGTAATAAATTTCGTTATCTTTATTAAAAACCTATATACATTAAACGTATGAAATATGCCCATAATATTTTATACATTCACACATTTTCTTAAAGTATAGCTTTTAATTTCATATTTATTACACACTTATAATCAATCAATCTTTTGATTTCTTTTTTCTTTTCGGTGTAGTAAAATCATCTAGATTATCTGTAGATAATCTTTTATGTTTAGAGATACCATTTGCTTCCACTGCAGGTTCCACCAAATCATTTTGTATGCTATCGGTCTCATTAGTCCCATTTGGAAGATTTACGGAACTACTAAATTGAAATACATCTAAACCTTCGGACATTGTCTGTAGACGTAATTCACGTGATTCTTTTTTCAATAACTGCTTTTCTTTTTGTTTACTCTTATTCTTCTTTTTCTTCTTTAATTTTGCTGTATTTATTTCTGTATTATTTTCTTCATCGTTAATTTCCATAACAGATTCGTCTTTTTGTTCTTCTTTTTCATCTTCTTCCTTTACACTAGAAATTTTTCCATTAACTTTGGGAATTGGATCAGTTTCTTGTTTCTTCACAGGACTATAAATAAATAATAAAAATAAATAAATACAATTAAAATAATAAATATATTTTAAATAATAATAATAATAATAATGCTTACCAATTAGTAGATAATCCAATTAGTTGTGCTAATCTATTGTATGCACTTCTTGCATCTTTAGAAAGTACAGCTTTAGTCCTGTATCTGACTAATTTTTCCCCGATAGTTTCCCATTTCCAAATTTCTGGTAAATGTTGTCCATGAATTGTGTGCAATAGAGTAAGGAACAGATATACAAATTTCTGATTAATTTTAACATTAGAATTTTCATTTGAAGTTAATTGTTCATCTTTGGATTCATTGGCATTGCATAGATCTTGTAATAGATTTATACTGTTTTCACATAATTTCTTCTCCATTTTAATTCTATTCTTGTTCTTCGTAGACTCAGAACGAATTAATCTATTATTTCTATAAAAAATAGTTAAAAATTCTAAAGCTTGGCCTCTACGAAATGATCTGATTGTGTTCAAATCAAATGCATATTCCACCTAATAAATAAAATATAAATATTATCGATTGTATAATTATTTTCCATTTGACATCATTTATTATTTTTTCATAACTTACTAATAATGGTGCCAGCTGCCAATTTCCTTCCCAAGATTGTTGTAACAGACTTTTGAAAAGAATACCTGGCAAAATGCAATCTCTTTTCTTGAAGAAAGCTGTTAAGTTAGTTTTATAAATGTCTACAAATGTATTATCAGGCAATCCAACGTATTGAACGCATCTTATAAGAAAAGCACAACATTCAGCTAATTTGTCTCCCATTTCTTGACAAACAGAAGCAGAACGTTCTCCTTTCTCAATTAAAGTCTGAAAATAACATAAATATTAATTACTTCTCGTCCAACAACATTTAATATCACTTTTATAAATAAATAAGTACCTTTAAAATGATTGTTAATAATTCATTATCGACTCCCTCAGTATCTCTGAATTTTTTAATACTCGATAATTTCTTTAAACAAGCTCGTACTCGATTCTCTAAAGGTTTCTGATGTGGATCCTTAATACAAAATTCCAATAAAGCAAAAAGTGGAACAAGCATATCTAAAACAACAGCCATTGCTGGATTGCAATCTAAATAAATTTCTAATAAATCTGTAACTCTAGCTCTGAAATGGGTTAACGTTTGTGCTGATTTTTCTTGTTTCTTCGATTGTCCACGACGATTTTGACGAAGAATTTTAAATGCTGCCGCTAATGATTCGTCCAATCGTTTGCCTTCAGCTTCGTCAATCTTATCTACGTCCATATCTTCATCGTTATTATCAGGATTAGTACCTCCTAATGCTTGACTCACAGCAACTCGTAACATATCTGTTACAGTTTCATCTTCATCTTCGTCTTCGTCTTCRTCTTCTTTATCGCAATCCATGTCACTTTCATCGGAGGAATCAGTTGTAGCTTCTGTATTATGTTCCTCAACATTATTCTCCTCATCGTTTTCATCATCCTCATCAGAACCTGAAGATTCTTCATTATCGTCACCGTTCATAGACAATGGATTGGTCTCTTTTTTGATATCCAAGACCTAACAAATCAAATTAAAGTATTAATATAAAAATTTAACTAGTGTTAATATTTTTTATATTAAAATAATATTTACAGATAATATTTGGGACATCGAGACGATGTACGGACAAATATGTGGAAAAACGCAAGTAACCAATGAACGCATCAAATGACTATTTTTAGATAAAAGAGATAACAAAAGATCTATCACAACTTCTACCCATTCCGGTTCATCTTTCAATTTTTTATTATTATTAGATTTAGATTTCTTTTTAACTCGATCGTAACAACTTTGTAATTCGTTGATAGACATAATTGCTACTTCCGGATCTGAGAAGAGTTGTAATCCCATGTGTAAACACATGGTATGAAATATTGGTATAGCTTTTGCATTGGGATTATTCTCTAATTTTTCTATTAAACAAATCGCTTTTTTCCATGCTGCTTCTGATTCCTCGCTCAATGGTGTCCGTAATTTAATATTCTCACAACTTAAATCTGTATTTAAATAATGAACTAATTCACTTAACATATTTCTTAAGTCATTCAATTTAGGCATCTTATGATCCAAAGCACGATAGAAACTATCTTTAAAATGTTCTGCAAAAATAAATAAATTTATTTCATTTATTTTAAATAAATTAACAAAGATATTTATATATATATATATATATATATATATGTTATGTCATAATGAAAATTAATATTACTTACGAATAAGTTCTACACCAACTTGTGGAACTTCGCAGAAACCAAAAAGAAACAAAAACTTCAATTGATTCAACTTCCAGTCTGGATCTGATAGAATTGCTGGATGATTTATTAATCTAAAATCATAAAAGAATACAAAATATATTATTAGTAAAATAATTTTATCGTAAACAGAAATAGATTTATAAATTAACACAAATATGTTTCGTGTTACCTCGTTAATAATTGAACAGCATAGATTCTTTCAGAATTTGTCCAGCTTTCTGTTTGTGAACGTTCTCTTTCTTTAGGAATTGTATTCTCTATAATGGTTCTATAGATATTTGATAACTTTTTAACTCCATCAGCATTTAAATTGCTTGTGATCAATTGGATTATCTTGACACCTGTTTTTTTTTCTATCATTAAATCACCAGGGTACAAGATCAGTTTTTTCAATACATTTATCTGTATTTTTGTTTTAATATCTTTGACACTTGTTATTAATAAACTTAATAAGTCTTTAAATGCTACAACAACTTCATCGTTGTTATTTCTCTTTAAAATAGAACATTTTTTTAACATATGTTGCAAAAAATCTGAAGATAACAAGGATGGCAACACTGTTTTATCATTTAAATGTACAAGTAAGTGTTTTAAAATTTCAATGGCAACGTATTCATGTGTTTTAGATGGCTTTTTAAATTTACTGTCTATGACTAACCAGAAATCGGTTACTAAATCAGTCGCTGCCAATTTTTCACAAAATAAAACGAATACTGGATGATGGCAAGATTTTATCCTGGGCAAATCCTAAATAACAATAATAATAATAATTAATTATGAAATAAATCATGCAAACTATTTCCTTCAATTATGTATGTGTATACTTACTGTTAATATATTCACAATATTGTTTATGTTTTCCTTTGTGATGATATCATTGGAAAGTAAATATTTTTGTAAAAAATCTTGATTCACAAGTGCTGGAAATTTATCTCTGATAATTAATAAAGCATAAAATGAATCTAATGTTTGTTCTGCCCAAGGCTTGCCAAATTCATTTTCTATTAATGGCCAAATAGATTTCTTCACAGAATTTGCGTCAAGTTGATTTATAAATTCTATTAAAAATGAAATGGAAACGAAAGATAAATAGCTTCGTTGTTTTCCAGCATTTAGAAGTATTTCCACTACTTTTGATTGAGTGTTGTTTATACTATTCAAAAGTAATTTTGATCGTATCAATGCACCGCAAGTTAATATACGACCCATATATACATCAGCTTGTTCCTAAAATAAAATAAAAAATGTACTTGTGTTAAAATTAAATATTGTACATATTGAACTAGCATACTAAGAAAAATTAAAGAATGATAATTATATTATTTAATCGTATTTGCATTACACTTTTAGCGTTGCTGTTTACTGGGTGTAATTCTGTATCCATTGTAGTTAAAATTGTGTCTATTGAAACATCAGAATGTATAATTAAGAAAGTTGTTAAGGTACTATAAAAACCCTTCTTGGCATATAATTTTGAGGATCCCAATCCACGTATTAATCTCGTCATAGCATATTTGTATTCTTTGTTATCATTTATATCCTAAAAAATTAATAAGTATTATTTATTAATTTCATTAAAAAAAAAAGAAAAAGTTATACATTAACACACATGAGCTAATATTTTTAGGTTACTTACAGAAGAATGTTCGTGCAAATGTTTTAATAACGTAAGACCACCTTCACGTCTCACTGCATCCTGTTTATTTATAATTTTCGCAAAACTATCAAAAATTGTTGAATTCATTTTATCTACACTTTTTAATTTAATATCACGTGAAACATCTCGAGCCATGTGCGTAGTGCCGAGATCCATCTTGTTTCTTTACCAAATACTACGTTGGTCAAGAATCTTACCTAAACAAAATTCTTTGTAATATTAGTTAAAGATATTAAATGTTTTATTAAAACAATATAATATTTAATAAACGATTTATAATTTTTCTTTATTTATTATAGATATATTAAGTTAATTTAAGAAATTATAGATATTATGTTTTAAATTTGCATATAGCAATACGCAATGATCTATATACATGCATATATAATATACTATCGTTACGATATTAATTCATAACATAAACATTAATTAAATAGTAACTAAACAAAATACTATCGAAAACAACTATTTATCCGAACTAATCTAACAATGAAATTAATTGTCTTTCACTGTATATGATTTTACCGATTTCGATTTTTTTATCCTTCTTTTATTTTTTTTTTATTATTCTCTAGATAGTACTAAATAATTTACTAGAAAAATTTCTCATGAATTATTGACGTTTAATGTATATTATTCTGAATGAATATTAAAAAAAAAGTGTTATAGTAGACAGTACTTGTTGTATCCGTAATGCATCTAAACAGTTAGAACAGTGCCATCTTTAGCACAGTGACTGGCTCGACCCGCGCAGTTGTGAGCAGTTCCTTGCATCCAATATGGCAGGTCGAGGTGGTTACGTTGATCCGAGGCAAGTATCGGTGAAAATTTGTTTGTATACATCAACCATTGAACTTATTTTAAATAGTGTTGTTATAAAGTTTCATTGATTAATAGTTTCTACGATGAGTATAATTATTTCTTCAAATATCCACACGACTTTAAGGTTAAGTGAATTCATATTAGAGTGCAGCACACAGCATCTCGCGGACATAGTGTCTCAGAACACGCGGCTTTATTTTGGCCGGTTCTGTATCGGTGGATATAAAATGTGCCACTGCAAATGGACATCTCTAATTAATTTTGTTTCTTACAATAATATCATGGAATGATTTTCAACTCGTTTTATGTAGATATGTTTAAGTACTTGTGTCTAATAACGCAGTGCCCAATTCAGTGTTAGAGACTATAAGATCATAGTACTAACAAACATTTACTTTTAGTGTTATCATTATTACTTATCTAAGAACTGTAGTATCAATAGTAACGTTGTGTTTTTCGTTCATTTCTTACATTAAATATTTATTTCTTACTTCATTAATATTATGATGCAACAATTATATATAATGAACATTAGATCAATTATACAAGAAATAATTATAATTATCTATTTTGCAATGTCTAATTTAATGATTAAAATACGTTGTTTTATAATTAGTTTAAATACAATGGGATATTATTATTGTTTATTTTGTATCGAATAATGAAAATATTTCTTTTCTTTTTTTGTTCTATAGAGATTACGGTAGCAGTTATAGAAGTAGAAAACCATTACCTACTGAACCTCCATATACTGCATTCGTAGGAAATTTGCCCAATGGAATTGTTCAAGGAGATGTTGATAAAATATTTAAACAGCTTAACGTTAAAGGAGTCAGATTAGTGAAGGACAGAGAAACTGATAGGTTTGTATTTTGTAAAAGTTTTACAAAAGTTTATTATCTATGTTATAAATAATCTTTTAAAATTATTTATATAAATATCATTTGCAGATTTAAAGGATTTTGTTATGTCGAGTTTGAGGATTTGTCTGATTTGGAAGCAGCCTTGGACTTGGATGGATCTGTAGATGTAGAAGGAAGTATAATCAAAATTGATGTAGCCGAGGGTAAAAGAAATGATCGAGGAGGTGGCTTTGATAGAAGAGGAAGGGGAGGACATAATAGCAACAGTGGCTTCAGAGGCCGAGAAGGTGGCCATAGTAGATTTAGTGGAGATGATTTTGGTAGCAAATCTATCTATACGAGTAAGCGTTGTGCCAAGCATAACGTGTGCAATGATCTTTTTGTGTTTTTTATTGTAAACGTAGATTTTGTCATTTGGTAATATCTTCATTTTTTTGTTCAAAAGATTAAGAGAAAAAAAAAAAGCTTTAATTTTTCTAACCAATTTAAATACTAACTTGTCGATTGTCCATAGATATCATAGCACTCAACTCGTATAATTGTATAACTACTTCATTCTTGATAGAAAACAAATCATTAATAACATTTGCATACTTATCAATTGTTTACTTGTCTAAGGTTTAATTGTTATATTTACGTTTGATTACTCAATCTAACTAGTAGATAGATTGGCTAATGATCTGTTGTATATGTTATCAAAATTTAAGAAATAACTTTAAAATCTATAAGAAAAAAGAATTAGTTCCTACATAGCTTGATGAAAGTTTTAATATTTCAATGAACGAAAGGAAAAATATTACATTCTCTTTTTATTCATATCTTTGGATTTGTTTTAATATTATTAACATTTTAATAATTGTTTGTAGGATATAATGACAGAGGACCAGGTGGTGGCGGTGGAGGTAGGCAAGGAAGTGCATGGGATTCAAGAAATAACAGAGGCAATTATGGTCAGTTTAATGATGACTCTAGTGGAGGTAGCAGGGAATGGGGTAGGAATACAGCACCAAGATCGTACAGTGGTAGACCGATGTCACGTGGAATGGGATCTGATCATAAACCATTTAATGATGAGTCAGATATTAAAGACCCATCAGCAGGTATTTCATTTCATTTCAATATAATAACTCTTGCATAATACATTCTTTCTTTTTCTTGTATTAATATCAACGTTCCCTAATATGTATAGGTACAAGTCGTAGAAAACGTTTGGTGCTGGCACCAAGATCAATTCCAGATCCTGTAAATGCTATTGCTGAATCGAGTAAATCAAGTTCAATTTATGGGGGTGCTAAGCCTCGGGAAGAAAAATTAAAAGCTAATGAAATCGAGTAAAATATAAACTAATTAACATCTTAGTTTCCACTTTCTTAATTATGGAGGAAGAAATTTCCCAATGAAAAAAAATAATAACAATATTTCAAAAGCCAATGTAAGATGATTCTCTTATAGTTTTTCTAAAATGAAACAGAAATTTCTTTTTAAAAACTAAAATAATAATATATGGAATCGTAATAATTTTTATTTATCCCCTTTAATGGGAAGAGTCTTCCCCAAATAACAATGTAATCACTGTAGGGAACAATTCAATAAGATTTCTTTAGTTTTCACAAGTTTCAATAATTTCTTTCTCTTTCTTTTTTTCTTTTATTTTTCTTCTTTTCTTTTTT